GATCATATCGGCAGTGGCCTAGGCCTAAATTCTATTACTGGAATTTTACAAGAATAAACTCAATTTTTTATAATTTTCATTGATGTGATTAATAATTTATGTAAATTGTAGTTGATTTATTGTATTTTCTAAACGGCACCCAAGTCCATTTGCTATTAAAAATCTTTGCATTCTGCAATTCAGCATATTGCAATTCTGATTTGGCTCTCATGTCGTCGTGTGACTTGTGTGAACCTGGCAATAACTCCAGCAATAAGTAGTGCGCGCGCCCGATAAAATCTATTGCTGGTCGTTTTGCGGGAAAATCCGGCCACGTACCTTATTACCGATGATGTCACGAGATAGAGGACACTTTTACGGACACGACAGTATCAAAATCATGTATCTGGGGGGTAAGTTAGGTGGGGGATAAAGTCAGCAATAAGTAGAGCTCGCGCCCGAAAAAATCTATTGCTGGCCATTTTGCAGAAAAATACGGCCACATAACATATTACCAATAATGTCACCAGATAGAAGACACTTTTACGGACATGACAGTATCAATATCATGTACCTGGGGGGTAAGTTAGAGGGGATAAAGTCAGCAAAAAGTAGTGCACGTGCGAGATGGCCGAAATGAGAGAGTAGAGAGACAGGATGAAGGGTAAGTTTTAACATTATACTTTAATAGCATCAATCCAATAGTGCCCATTGGCCTGAAAAAACCTAAATTAAACCCAAATGTTTTCAAGCTCTTCGAACTAACTCACAGTTAACATACCTAATGTAATTCCCAATTTTGTTTTAAGAAGTAATAATTTACTCGTAGTATAATAATTAATAGTTGGTGAATTGTAGCCTACTACAATTATGTGCCATGATCAAATGCCACAAACTAATACCACTAATGCCATGAGCCTTGCCACAAACTACTGTACATTTTTTAAGTTAAAGTGATAAAAAAAATAAACAGTTATGATTTTGATCAACACATTATGTTCTGTTGTGGGGACATTGACCCACAATCCACATTGTGGGTTGTATTTTGTACCATAAATTATGCTGTACCATATTTTGTACCAATATGCCTGCAAGATTCTTCATAACTATTAACTAATAAATATTTTTTCTAAGGTCAAAACTTTCCGTTTGTATACTATTTGCACTTGCTATGGGACATCACTGGAGAAAAGTGGCAATGCTCCGGAGACAGTCGGCCAAAAATGTTTCCGCAGAAAAAAGATTTTTTTTCTTTTTTTTAAGATGTCCAGCAGTATTTTTCCGCAAAACAGCCAGCAGTAGATTTTTTCAGGCGCGAGCACTACTTATTGCTGACTTTACCCCCCTAACTTACATGATATTGATACTGTCGTGTCCGTTAAAGTGAAGTGTCCTCTATCTGCTGACATTAGCCTATCGGTAATAAGGTACGCGGCCGGATTTTTCTGCTACTTACTTTCCGTGTCCGGAAATCAGACTTCGCTTTTCCAAAAATTAGCTACCGATATGGCTTTGCCATTCGCTTGTAAAAGATCATCATCGCTTGTGCAAGACTGGTCTAGGCGTGGACAGATCAGCAGATGGCCAGGATCCTGAACAGCACCACACGCGCACAAGATATTTTCTTCGTCTGGTAAGAGACCCCATTTATACATGTTTATCTTGCATTTTGGTACCTCGACCCTGATTCGATTTAGGGTCTTCCACACCGTATAATGAAGGCCTCCACCAGGAGCCAGTTCCTCCCTTGATGGGAGGGTTAGTCAACGTGGCCTCCCACCTTGCCAGCCCGATTACTTGAGAGTGATCCATCCAGGACTCGTGACCGTGATAAAAAGCTCTTTCTGGACCGAAGCCGTCGCTCTGCAGGTTGGTGGCCGTGTAATGGGTGACGAGGGTCTGTCTCTTGCTTAGTCCTTTCTGCGTCTAAATTTTTCTGCTAAACAGCCAGCAACAGATTTTATCGACTTATTGCTGACTTTACCCCCCCAGTACCTACATGATATTCATACTGTCGTGTCCATTTAAGTGTCCTCTAGACCTATCTGCTGACATTATCGGTAATAAGGTACGCGGCCGGATTTTTCCGCTAAACTGCCAGCAATAGATTTTATCGACTTATTTCTGACTTTACCCCCCCTAACTTACCCCTCCCGTACATGATATTGATAGGCCTACTGTCGTGTCCGTTTAAGTGTCCTCTATCTTGTGACATTATCGGTAATATGTTAAACGGCCGGATTTTTCCGCAAAACGGCCAGCAATTGATTTTTTCCTGGCACGCCCACTACCTTTTGCTAACTTTACCTTCCCTAACTTACCACCCAGGTACATGATATTGATACTGTCGTGTCCGTAAAAGTGTCCTCTATCTGGTGACATTAACGGTATTGTGGTACGCGGCCGTATTTTTCCGCAAAACTGCCAGCAGTAGATTTTTTCGGGAACGCCCACTACTTATTGCTGCCTTTACCCCCCTAACTTACTCCCCAGGTACATTATATTGATACTGTCGTGTCCGTAAAGTGTCCTCTATCTGGTGACATTTTCGGTAATATAGTACGCGTAGTGATGTAAAACGCCCTGGCGTTTAAATCTCTGGCTAATGTAATAGAATTAATTTACATTTGTTTATTATACACAATGAATCAGTCTTAACTTAAATAATTATGGGCATAATGAAAACTTCAGTTCATCAAACAAAATTCCTTAAACTAATGATAGCCCTAACTCCAGTAGAATTTGTGAATATATATATATGAATAAAAATAATTTTATAGGTGCCTTTTAGCGAATTTCCCTAAGGAAGTAGCTATTCCCTTAGGTCTCATGGTAAGACCTAGGCCCGGGACCAATTTACTTTTTCATTTTGATGTCCCCAGAGGCCAAAAACACCATTTGTTCAAATTTTTATATATCTATATATATATATAAATATTAATAAATTAAATAAATAATTAAACATTTAGCACCCTTTTTTTAAGTTATTAATTTATTGAATAAACAACTTACATGTTTCGGCTCTTAGGCCATGATCACAGTTCATGAACAAATAGTAAATAAATAGAAATGTAAATAATAAATAAGTAAATTATCATATGATTTTGGAATTTTGTCTAGTATATAGGTTGGTTTAGGTGTTGTTTTCTTATGATTTATTATATAAGATTTTTTCATATATTATGTTTTCTTTTTGAATTTGCATTGTATTAAGTATGTTTTCAGGATCTTTTTTATGGTTTCTATATATGTGGAATTCTTCTTTAATGAATAATTTGGCTTTGTTTGGTTCCAATTCAATCACTGATAAATTATTTTCTATATTTTGATATTTATGATTAGTTTTTATTTTAATTATATATTTTATATTAATAAATATATATATGTGTGTGTGTGTCCATCGCACGATAACTTAGGGTGTAAGGCGGGATAAACTTGAACGAGTTCGCGAACCAGCGTGATCGGACTATGCGAACGGAGGTTTACGGGGGGTTTTATGGGGTAAAAATAGGGTTTTCCCATTTTTGACCCAAAAAACATAAAATTTAGCAATTTCTTTCCAAACCATTTTGTAGAGCTTAAAAAACAAATAATTTAGTATATTGAAGTGTTACTATGCGCCTAATAATTACGGAGAAAATTCAAAAAAAATGTAAATGTTCAATTCCCATGTTATTCTTATGGAGAACAAGTAAACTGTTGTAGTATGCTTGTTTATGAACATATTTTGATCAAATTTGGAAAATGTTTTTATTTCTTACTAACTATTAACATTTTACAAAAAAAAAAAAAAAGAAAGACAGTTTTACCCTCCCTGATGCAGCAAACCTAAGTACCAGTTAAAACTAATTCTATTTAAATAGGAAATAAATGTTAAATTTTTAAGTAGACATTTTAGTGTAAATCTAATCAGAATCAGGCAAATGGAAATTCGCTTAGTCTGCAGGTTTACTGCAGCGGGGGTATTTATGTTAGGAAATTTACATTGTGGCTAAAAAGCACTTGTTTTACTAACAAAACCTTAATACTTAACTTTATATTTAATTAATTAGACATTATAAATTTATCTTATGCACATATTTATGAATTACAGAGTAGAAACCTGCTTAATCAGTAAATAAGATTTTATTTAACAATTTAGAAAAATATTTATTTAAAATACCACACTGAAAATATTACAGGTTTTATTGAATTGCGCCTTAAACTGAACTTTTTATAAACGCCCAGTTTTTGGGCGCTTAAAATCGCTTTGGGCAAATGCCCATAAACGACACGCCCACTGGGCATTTGCCCGGCCCACATCACTAAGTACACGGCCGTATTTTTCCGCAAAACGGCCAGCAATAGATTTTATCGACTTATTGCTGACTTTACCCCTCCTAACTTACCCCCCAGGTACATTATATTGATACTGTCGTGTCCGTTAAAGTGTCCTCTATCTGGTGACATCATCAGTAGGCCTACCTAATATGGTAGCCTACGCGGCCGTATTTTCCCGCAAAACGGCCAGCAATAGATTTTATCGGGCGCGTGCACTACTTATTGCTAGAGTTATTGCCAGGTTCACACCAGTGTCGTGTGTGGTTTTGTCTGTTTAGTATCGAATGTAAACAACTGACAGCTGTTTCCACTCCACAAACCTTTCTCCCCTTTCAGTGTTAAGTCGCTACTAGAATTTGGACTCGTCCAAATCACAAACTCATCAAAACCGAAGCTTGATATTAATTATTTAACTGTAAGACCACTTAGGAATCTCTCCGACAAAAACTGATTGCATTTTTGGATTCAGCGTGAAAAATAGGCTTACTGTAACATTTCTACACCTAAAAATTTCACGGTATCGCGTTGTAGATATATCAAATAATTACCAACCTAGCTTACCTACCTAGATCCAGGAGCTAAGGCTAACTTACAATAATTAAGCCTAACTTATCCCACATGATCAGAAAATACAATAACTTAACATAGCCTAAACTTAATTGTTCCAATTCATATGATGTCACGGCAATGTGGGTACTTACACTCTTGCTGTGGAGAAATATTACTGCTGTAAGTGTTAGGGAAAAGGTGCCCAGCACCAAAAAGTCCTACCATCATTATTAAACCAACACGAGTCACTTAGTTTTACTTCATAGTGCCTAGTAAAATCACACAACTTCAATTTATATTGCAAATACAGTTCATCAAAAGCACACATAAAGACTCCAAGGTTTACAATAGGCCTATTATTGCAGCCGAACAGTTTGAGTTTCAATTCGTCCAACACAAAGCGCACCATAAAAACATCTTTGCCAAGACTGTCGACTGTCCGAGTCGGTCGGTATGTCGGTTCGGTGAGTACTTTTTCACCACCTCAAATTAGTTGACGAATATCGAAACTGGAAAATCGATACTTTTACAGCTCGATTGTTTTTAGAATTTAGTACATTGCGATATCGATAGTCCACTCCCACTCCATCCATTCCCGTTCTCCTTTGACTTGTGTTGTGACTTGACCTTGACAGTTTGAATTTAATAATGGTAGATCATTAGGAGAGAACATATAGCGCCTAGGGACGTAATGTCAATTTTTTAAGAGAATACATAAATTTGTTAATACCTTACGAAAAAATTCTTCTTCTGTTTCTATTTATCAGTAGATAGTATAAGATATTATATAAGATAGGAATAAAATTCAATGTCAACAGTTGAAAAGATTATTGCTAAGGTTATGTTCATCACGGGACCAGAATTTGTTTTAATCAAAACTGAATATCATCAGATGGAGGCCATTTCTAGGTAAATGCACCAGTAGCTGACAGTGCTCCAGAAGCTGACAGTTTGAGTTTCTTTACATTATAATGTGGTCTCTTAAAAATATGTACACATATGATTGCATTGTTAGAAGAACATATGTTTATTCTTGATTTGTTTACAAGCAAATCAATGAAATTTAGCCCATACTCACTGAATGGTGGTGGTTTGAAAGCGACCCTGTCTGTACACATCACATTTAGTCGATTCCCTTAATGAAATTGTTAAGAAGGTAAGTTTGGTTTTTTGTCATTTCGCTAAATTTCTTAAATAGGCTAAATGATTAGGCTCATTATTTTTATCAATTATACATTTGTTGACAATTTCTTGATAAAATTGGGGTGTTAGGGGTTTTGGATTTAAAATTATATCAATGTCAGGCTTTGGTACACAAAAGCCATACAAGTTCCACTAGCTGACAGGGGATATTTTGTGAAGATGAGAATACATAAAAGAACATGTTTTTAGCAGTCTAAACCCATTCTGCATAACCTAATGAATAGTTAATGTTTAATTTTATGTGTTTGATTTCACACATCTTAATTTTTTAATTAATAATACAAATGATCTAAAAAAATATGTATTTTTTTATGTACATATTTTTTTTATTTAAAAATAGGTATGTAAAATAAATTTTCTTAATAACGTTTTACATGATTTTATAATTTAATAATTAAGTTAGATTTTATTCGTCTTATAAATTATAAAACCCTTGTCCCTTAGGTTTAGCAGCTAGTACATTTATAGTTCCAGTGTCAGCTACTGGGACAACTGACAGTCAGCTACTGGTACAAGCGCTTTTTTCACTGTCAGCCACTGGAACACGTACAAAGGTTGAATTAAGTTTAAAAATGTTATAAAATATATTTAAAAAACCCTTTTTGTATGACAAATTTGAAAACTACACTAAATTTAGAATCACATAAAATCCGTGATATCTCTTTAGTTCCTATTTATTCAAAACCACGGATTATTAAGTGCGTATAGTTTCTTATACTGTCAGCTACTGGTGCGTTTACCTTAATTTGTCTTATTATTGTTAGTATCAACCCAGCTCTTGTAAAAATGCCAAAATGCCTCCTTCCTGAGAGGGAGTGTAATTTACTCTTTTCCTTGCTTAAGACTAATAATTTTAAAGCTTAATGATGAATTAAAAATTACAAAATTATGACCTTGCTCACAGTTCTTAGAAATTTTATTCCTGATTCCTTCATTAATCTTATTTTTTGTCTGGAGGTCGATATGATTATAGTATTCAAGAGAGTATTGAATTGAATGTAACAGTAACTTATTTAGTATCAATTTATTCAGCTCAAGGGGTCTCTTTTAGTTCCATTTAAGCAATGATAAATCATGTTTTTCGGGCCAAAAACGTCATTTTTAATGTTTATGATCCATACCGGTATTTTACTAGTAATCGTGCTTTCTTAGTCAAACCAATAAAATTTACTCCGATTCCGATTCGATTACTCTAAAACAATCGAGCGGTAAAAGTATCGATTTTCCAGTTTCGATATTCGTCAACTAATTTGAGGTGAAAAAGTGCTCACCCGGTAGGTCACTGTCGGAGTAGGTTTCGGATCGGACTCGGACGTCGGACTTTTAGAGGCGGCTCACGAGTACGGGCACGGCCGCCTTTAACTACGGGGTTTCGTGGCCCACGGTTATCGTTGATCTCGACCAATTTTAACCGACGGTCAAAAAATGGGTTCACGACATAGAGCGTTAGCCGAGATCAAGCTTAGCCGAGACCAACGCTGGCCGTCGTTCAAGAGCAGGGATTAACTGGGAATTTTCGTTGGGAGGTTGGCAACAGCCACCTGCCGGGCCGATGCTCGCGGTCAACGACTAACGAGTCCCAAAACAATAGAATGACGTTGCGTCATAATGATTGGTTCATAAATTATTATAATTAAACAGGGTATTTACTGATATCGTATAAAAGGTTGTGGACTTGCACTTTAATTCATTTTATACTAAAGTTTAAGGTTACTCAATTTATCATTGAATTATGAGTAACACATAACACACTGAATACATTGAATCGGGAAAATGCAGTTATGTTTAAAAAAAAAGTTTAAACAAATCTTGGTGATGTTTGCAATAAAATTTGATTACCAATTATGTTCAAAAATAAGACATACTTTATGAGGTTTGCAGTTTTATCCAAACGTTATAATTATTAAATAACATGACTGCTCTTTTCAAAGATTTATGAATATCTTTTATGTATCAGTAATTTGTATAAAAAATAAAGGTAATTATTTGATTTGGTATGTCTACAACGCGATATTATGTACTTTTTTGATGTCTACTTACAGTATTTTTCACGCTGAATCCAAAAATGCAATCAGTTTTTGTCGGAGAGATTCCTAAATGACCGTACAGTTAAATAATAAATATTAAGCTTCAGTTTTGTTGATTTATTAACTTATTTATGGTATGGACGAGTCCAAGTACTAGTGGCGACTAACACTTAAAGGGGAGGAAGGATTGTGGAGTGGAAACAGCTGTTAGTTATTTACCATTCAATACAAAAACAAAAATCTTAATAACATTTAACAACGATTCAATTAGTAAAAGCAGACGGACTTCTAAGACGTTCCGGAAATACAGTAACACAAAAACAATAACTTACATAAACTATTAATAAAATCAACACTAATCATCAATAAATTTAACTTATCCTCGTAAAATGCAAGGATTTGTCCCCAGACAATAACACGACCACTACCGCATCAGAAATGCCAAATTGATACTAGGCTATGTCAACTGTCAACTGCCACTGTCACTGAATTACTGTAATCAACCACTAAAGGATTACTACGCTAAAATGCGCGCCCAGGAAATAGATCCAGATTAAACATCTGTATTAACAACTAATTAATTATCAAGTAAGTTTAATTATTGTTGTCGATTTAGGTATTAGTAATGGCTGATATTTGCAATGCGTGTGACCTGAATTTGTATGAAACTGTTGTATTTGATAATAGTGAAATTAAAAGTTTTTTAATTAAGCACGGGGTTTTGAAAAACGAAACAAATTGTCCAACGTGTAATTCAAACATTAAAGTGAACGATCAGTGGCTATTTAGATGCTGGAATAAAGTCTCAATAAACAAGAAAAAAGCGAAAAGGTGTCATTGGGTGCGATCTTCCAGAGTAGGCTCTTTTTTCGGCAATTCAAAATTACAAATCCTTACGCTTTGGCGATTAGTTAATCATTACCTTTTTTTTGACCCACCCCGGCAAACATTTCTTGAAACAAATCTCAATCTCTCAAGTAGTTCTGTTGTGGATTGGTATTCGTTTATACGAGAAGTGTACATTGACGATTGCGTAACAAATTCGGAAAGACTAGGCGGGCCAGGTGAGATTGTTGAGATTGACGAAGCGAAGTTCGGGAAACGCAAGTACAATCGAGGTAGGCGAGTGAAGGGAAACTGGGTGTTGGGGGGAGTGCAGAGAGGCTCGACCAAAACATTTTTAATTCCCGTTCCTGACCGCTCAAGACGCACACTCATTCGACTAATCCGCCGCTGGGTTTTGCCTGGCAGCACCATCATCACTGACTGTTGGAAGTCGTACAGCAGATTGCGGGAGTACGGCTATAGTACTGACTTTATTGATCCCGTCACGGGCGCTCTTACAAACCGAATTGAGCGGTGTTGGAGAGACGTTAGAGACCACATCCCCAAATACGGGGTGAGGTCCGAACATTTCATCGGGTACCTGGCAGAGTTCCAATTTAAAAAACGGAACCCGAACAACAAGCGACTCCACGCGTTTTATAAGGCCGCAGCAAAGCTGTATAGGCCAAAGTACTTAACAAGGTAGGTTGGTTAAGTTAAAATATTTTCTTTAATGCATAAGCTATGTATTATATTTTAAACTAAGGTAACCTAAGCTAACCTAATCTACTTTTAATGTCAATTTGTGAGGTGGCATTCCTGAGGGAGTTATTGAGTGTAAATATTCAATAGGAATATTCAAACGTTCGGTTGGGTCGTCACTAATTATTTCGTCCACACTAAAGTAATCATTCGCTTCCCCCTCCATTGTTTGTAGGATTTCATTGTTGAGGGTTTGACACTGTTCATTCAATGGACACATTATTACATTATTAGAAAATTTCTTGACATTGTTTAAATTAATTTGTTCATTAAAAGTAAAACTAAATAGATTGATTTCTGAGGATAAACTGTTCAGGAATGTCAATCACATCGAAACCTTTGTTTAATGTGCCATTTCCAAGTTCGAGAAGCCAATTGCAAAACTCGTTTTCACCAGGGTTGACTCGCATGTTTTGTGTTAGTTTAAGAAATTTTAACTTTTTCCAAATTTAACTGTTCTGCAAGCATGCCTCCAATGTTTGAACCTTTCCTTGCATGGGAACAACCGGTAACACTTATCGAAAGTCTCCTCCAAACAATACAATTTTCCCTCCCATTAGAATGTTTTCATTTATTTGGTTTTCAAATTTCATTATAT